ATCAATGCAACAGGCATCACCATCCGTGGTTCGTCCGTGGAAATCAAACAGCTTGCTGACGAACTATTGTGAGAACCCCAAAGTTCCTCCCAATTGGTAGAGGGCCAACGTGCACCCCCAAACAGATCCCAACAGGTATGAACTGGGATTGACAGCCAATCACTCTGTGGCTCCTCTTCATCTGCTGGCCCCAAACTGCATACTGGACCTCCTCCTCTGGACAGTGGCCTACAACATGCCTAGCTTGGTTGGAGATGACACTTCCAGGTCTCCACTGGTGCAGGTCTGGTTCCTGTAGATCCCAAAATAGATGGAGGTAAAGATGGCAAACGCATGAAAGGTGGAGATCCAGCCTTAGCTTTGGCACACATTACGCATTGTGAAGGACACAGTTGAAGTGAATGGGATGGACAACAGACATAAAATGCATGAAGACACGGAAAGGTGTAATTCCGGCCTTAGCGTTGACCCACATTACGCATCGTGAAGAACACAGTTGAAGTGAATGGGATGGTCAACAGACATAAAATGCATGAAGAAAGGGAAAGGTGTAAATCCGGCCTTAGCGTTGGCCCATATTACGCATCGTGAAGGACACAGTCGAAGTGAACTTGGGATGGTCAGTAGACATGAGATGCAGCAAAGCCAACTTTACCCCCACAAGACAGACAGAGCGTGAAATAATGGATTCTGACAGGCGGGAACATTTCCCATCAACGAGAAAGGCTTGAACGTGTTCTTAGTGTGACAGAACCCCCGAGGGAGGAAACAAGATGGCCAAATTTCAAATCACAACTGGGAGCACGGCAAACATGCGTGGACATGAAATGACGAATTGGCAAGACCCTTCGCTACGTCAACAAGCAATGGCACGACGACGTCCATAGGCAACGGCACACAATGACATTCAGGTCTCTATTGGCTGTGAACCTCGGATGTTATCTGTCCGCAGTTATTGAAAATGACGATACAGAGAAGACGAAACTCTGAGAGGTTGAACACGAGATCGCAGATGCCAACAATTAATGTTTGCTTAAACGTGCCAAAACCAGTCACATGACGCCGGATTACGTTTAATACAGATGCAAACATGGTCATTATCTCCCTAATACTTGGCTCTTGTGATGAAAATCCCAAAATGTCTGGAAGCCAATAGTTGGTGGGCACCTGACCAGATCATCTTTATGAGCTCATTGCAAAATCAGGCACGTCCAATCCACTTTGGAAGTGGAGTAGCCTGCACAGAGCTCTCGCCTCAGCCCCGCTGACCAGCTTTAGGGCCAGTCTCTTTTGGAGGGCCCGACTATGTTGTCTACTTCCCATAGACCCGTCACTCTCCTCTAAGTGGCCCTTCCAACTGGTCATGGAGAGGACCTCAGTAGAAGTTGGGTTTCACAGGGCAAACCAAAGATCACCGCTCTCTCCCTTTCTGGGTTTCCATGGGGGGGTGATGGACCGCCATCCCAGGGGGCAGCTCCTAAGTCTAGGTGATACCATCTTTGGTCCTCTGGCCTAAGCTGCTTCTTGGGTGGTCCCGGCCATCTCAGCACTTCGACGTTCTTTGCGGCTTGTTAACTTCCTACCCCTACAGGACTATTACCTGTAGACAAGGTGTCATTGTACGATGTGTAAGAAGCGATCAATGTCCACAGGACTGTTACTTTCTTTACGGATCATTATTTTGCAGAGAAAGATCAGCAACTCTCCATTACAATGTTCACGTATAGTTCACACATCTACACCAGAACCGAACCATCTTTGTTCAGGTATCATCCAGGGTGAACATTCACTTCCCTGACTGACATACCAGTTTAGAGATGCCAGTCATGTAAATACTGGTGGTCCTGATTAACCACTTGCCGTCCGCCCATTGTAAAAAAACGGACGGACGGCACTGCTGCATTGGCGGCATTTTTTTTCTGCTCGCGCGAGCCCCCTAGCAGGCACGCATGGGCAGAAAAGACCCAACTAATGCAAACACCCGTTACCGGGTGTTTCACATATAGGCGATCAGCGGCTCCATAGCCTGCCGATAGCTATATGTGCTTGTTTCCACCGCGCCGCCGGTTTTTATTCCCCCGACCCCTCACCTTGAATCCTGGGATCCACTGCCCCATCTGCGGCCCGGGACCGGCTCGGAGGGCGTCAGGAGGAAGAGGACGGGAGATCAGCTCCTTGCTGATCTCCGTCCGGGCTGTGAATGCAGAAGTGATGTGTATTACATCACTTCCGCATTCACCTGTCAGTCATCTGGCTCCTATAGCCAGAGAGAAGAAGCTGATAAAGCAGATCTCTGCTTTATCAGCTTCTTTTGGGGTCCATAGGTGATATTAGGGGTCCTAGAGACCCCTAATATCTCCATAAAGAGGACCTGTCAGTGTGCCTTTGCTATTATATAGGGGGTTGTTATCCCCCTATATAATAGCAATAACAATAAGTGCAAAAAAAAAAATATAAATAAAAAAAAAGAAAAGTAACACATAAAAAAATAAAATAAAATAAAAGCCACATATAAAAAAAGGGGAAAAAACCCCCCCAAAATGTTTAACTCCCCCACCCCCACGTTTACGCGCCTATAAACGTAAATACGCGTCCGGTGCCCCAGCGCGCAAAAATTACAATTGCGCTACACATGTTACATATCGCCGCGAACGTCGCAGTGAGAGCAATCATTTTAGGGCCATCAATCACTGATAACACTAAACTGATGAGCGGTAACAGCTTTTAAAGCGTCGCCTATGGCCAATTTTGGGTATTATCGTTTTTTGAGGTTTCGCGCGCGCACGCAATTTTAAGGCTTGACATGTTTAGTGTCTTTTTACCCGACGTGACCCCATCTTTTATATTTTACCAAAAAATTGGGTAATAATAAATGTTTTATCATTTAATATAGGGGAAACTGTTTTTTTTTTTTTAAATTTCGGTAATTTTTCCTTAATATAGTAAAAAAAAAAAAACCCCCAGTGGTGAATAAATACCACCAAAAGAAAGCTCTATCTGTCCCCAAAAAAGGGTATAAAATTCATTTCAGTACAGCGCTGCATGACGGAATAAATGTCAGTCAAAGTACCGCAGCGCTGAATACTGAAAAATGGCCTGGATGGGAAGGGGGTTTAACACCGCGGATGTCAACTGGTTAACAAAATGTCTAACACAGATCAGCCCCAGTGGTGCACGTTAGATCACTTCTGCCAGAGGCGGAGAGAGAGGAGGCTGAGCTCGTCAGTGGATTTTGGTAGGTGCCACTCAAGGCAAAATACCTAGTTTGTCTTGCAGTAGATACACCTCTGATCACCCTTGCTGCAGGCTCTCATCTGGCTAAAAAGTCAGGGCCTGTGAGGGGTTTGCATTCCCATACAAGTCTGAGAACGCAAAAAAGAATATGCTTGAAGCAGGTCAAATGCTCTCGTCAGTGAGCTCTGAACGATCTCAGACTGATGCCATGAACACAAGTCCTTACCATCTGATCACTGGGGGAGGGGAGATTGAGGAAATGCCTCCTCCTGCCTACAGCAGACTGATCCATGGCAGAGAAGAGACTGGGTAAAAATGCTTTCTCCTGCCTGCAGCAGACTTATCACATCTAAGCCTAGGCAAAGTCACCAAGTGGCAATGGACAGCTTTGAATGATAAAGCTTGGGGCTTCTCTGAACAACGATCCAGTTTCTGTATGTTGTAACATGTCAGCATTTTATTCACGGTGACTGGTGGTGAAGTTGTGAAACAGTCGGCTAGGTTTTTGGCGGTCACGTGTTGCACTCAGGTCTGGGACCCGAAATATTAGCTTTTATTGTAGGCTTTTTTTTTTAAATGGCATTGGTGTTGCGTCACACAGCCAGCTATGATAACACTGCGTGGAGCAGTTTTATAGCCTCGCACAAGCCTCGGGCGCGGGTGTGGAATGGCTGCTTGACAGACAACCAAATCTTCAACTATCTGCCAGGGCGAGATTTGTACCTACAAGAAGTGTTAAATGGGAAACCGGTCCTTGGACAAAACTACAAAGCTTGGCCACGGTTGATGTATTCTGAAAATCCTATTTGTCTTCACAAGAAAAATATGAGTACATTGAGGGACACAGGAGACTGTTGGGTTATACTGCCACCAACAGGAGAAAAAAAAAATGAACAGTCAACAAGGAAAAAAAAAGCAGTTTTCCACCACGAGCACAAGAACTGGGACAATGACACCTTGGATCTGATGAAGTCTCCCAATGTCCGGGATGACACAGGAAGGTTGGAGGTGGGAAAAAGGGGGGCAAGGAACAGACTCCAGTTTGCAGCCTTGGCATACCACCTCTTGCACCCAAGCATCAGGGATGCAAGTTGTCTAAGTGACCCTCAGTGAGGTCTCATCTGCATGGCGAGGATTGCTTGTCTGAGGATTTGGGGCCATCATATGCCATTAGCGCAGGCTACCCCAACCCCCCTCCCAACGGCGCAGGCCCACACCCTGCACCAGAACATAAGATGGAGAAATTGGACCAGAAATGTTTTTTCTACAAACTTTATTGAGGTTTCCCTATAAACAATTGCTACTGTACAACATAGATACAAGAGAGAGGAGAACAACATAGATACAAGAGGAGACATAAGTGTTTGAGGGCCTCACATTCCACTTTCTGTGCCGATTTGCTGACTTTTGACATTGTGTCCTTGATAAATATTTGATTAAAAAGAGCCCAGGCAGTTTAACCCGGAGAGTTCCGTGTGAGCTCCTGCGCTCATCGAGAGAGGAGGAGCGGGGAGCATTCAGCGAGATGGGGATCAGAGATTAAGAAGGTTTACCTACCTAAAATAAAAACCTCTTTAAAAAAGGACAGGCGGGAAATCTAGAGTACGATTCTCGCTCTACTAATATAAATCTTTAGAATAAAAACAAGGGACGGGATCTCTTCAAGGGGTATGCAAATTAAATACTGGCAGTTCATCTTCCTTCCAGTACAGGGACACTAATATTTCATTCTAGCATTAGGCAAGACTATGGGGAGGCCAGGAGAGCTATTCGTCTTCTATGATCGGTGAGCAGCCAGAGAAGAAGCTGACGTTGCTGTTACACAAAACTTTCTTCTTCTTCTTCAGGAACGACGTCTGCTTGTCCTGAGGCTCCTCGGACGGCGGATTTCCCGAAGCCATGGACGGTTTGCGCTGCAGCTTCATGGAGAACATCTGGCCGATGTCGCTTATTTCACGGAGCACCTAACGGGGTAAAAAGAATGGAATCGGTCATTGTAAGCTGTGCGCCAATTTCCGCCCTTCACTTCATGTCTTTACCAGTTGTCCCAGCTGTCCATAAAACGTATCCCATACCTATGGACATCTGACCATCAGACCTGTACCAACTGGCATGGACATGCCGTTCCAGAACTTCAAGGACAGGGTAGTGGGAGATGTGAAGACTTACAATTGGCAGCTTCTGCCATGATCACATCAGGAAAGAGCTCTTTTGCTCCATGAAAATGGCTGTACACAGAGCAGCAGGGAAGGGGGCATCTCCCCATTGCCCTATGTCAGCAAGCAAATACATTCCCAGTCTATCTATGTAGGTTGTGCCAGGAAGAGCAGACTATAGCCACAGCGTCCTGTAGCTTTGGTCAGCAAACCGAAGGATGCAAACTGACTAGGGCCAGCACCACTCTGCTTCCATGATTGGATTGTTCAGAATGATACAGGACGGAAGGGGAACTGGCAGGACCAGCAGGTATTTGTTTGTAAATAAGAATGAACATCTAAAGTTACTATCATAATGCATAATTGGATAATTAATTTTAAGGGTCTGCGAGAAACTGTAACCATCAGTGAGGTCGGATATTGATGCTGGATGAGAAGTGATGGCCAAGGTGCCACCCCCTCCCCCCGGGCAGAGATGGCCAAGTTGCCCCCCAGGTGAGATGGCCAAGGTGCCCCCACACTGGAGGCTGCAACGGTCCGATATCCCCACACTGTAGGCCATATAGTCTATACGCCATCACGTGGCATCTGCCTTACCTTTTTAGTCGGTATCACACAAGGTTCGGAGAAGAATGAACTTCCAGTAGTGGGATCTGCAATTGAGTCCATTCTATCTGAGTTCTCAGACTCCTGGGAGGGATCCTCACTATTAGTGTCATCCTGCAGACAAAATGATATACCCCAAATTACAAGACATCGTAACCCTTCTCAGCATCACCATACTGCCATTGTGTACCAAATCCAGCCAAAGCACCCCCAGTACTCGCTGGTTCATTAAGAGTTACGAGACCCTCCAATTAAAAACAACCCAAAATCCAGTCTTATATATACACGTCTACACTTCTGTGTTTGCAGAGAGATGGCCGGTGGAAGACAAGACAGAATTGTCCCCGTCCTTTATTCCCATTTGTAATGTAGCTCCGGCGCCCTGCAAGCTCTCGCCCCGCCTCTGCAGCTGCCCCAATGCTCCATTCACCAACACAAGCAGCTCCGAACCTCACGAATGGCTCAACATTCCTCCCATAGAGATTGATCGGCAGCTGTGTGAGGAGAGACGAGCTGGAATACTATGCTGGCCATGCATCTGCTTGGTTTTATTGGACCCAAGGATGATGGGCCATGAAGTCCCGCTAAGAGCGGTCACGTGAACGACGTTTAGGGCTTGTTCACCCCTACTTGAAGTTTGGGAAAAGGCCCCCGGGGAATAAGGAGCAAGCAACTTTGAGGGAATTTGCCATTATCTAGGGAGGGGGCTCTAGAAAAAAAAAAAACAAACGCTGTGGTATACATCTGCTAGATCCGGCCCTCCAGCTGTGGTGAAACTACAAATCCCATGATGCACCTCTCTCTGCAGGAGAGATGTCTGAGAATCTTACAATGCCTCACGGGATTTGTAGTTCCACCACAGCTGGAGGGCTACCCCTGTGCTAGACATGAATACTTCAAGGGTGTTGTGCGGAGAGCTGTACTGTGCATGGATGGAACTTTGGGTGAATCAAGCAGTCAGGGTATGCCTGGACTCACCGAGAAGTGGTCTATATTGCGACACTTGGAAGTGTCACAGCTGCAGTCTTCCGAACAGTTCTGCTTATTCTTCCTGCAGCGGCACATTTTAGTGGAGCAGCGAGCTTTACATGAGCACTGAGAAGAGAAGAAACAGCGCAAAAGTAAGGAACGTTGGCACAAGTATGAGGTGCACTGCTCCAAAGGCGTGGATGGGGTCAGCCTCATGAAAGATCGGGTGCTGAATGCCAGCAGAGGCCTGTGCCCCACAGACTGAAGCCAATCTTTTCCTTTGGATTGGTGCAAAAACTTTGGTTATTCATCTGGACAACATAAAAGAGCCCCCAATCACTGACTGCTTAATAAATTAACTTTTTACAATTTTTAGTTATTATCAGGCTGCTCCAAGCTTAGGAACAGCTAATAATAACTTTAGAGACTGATGCTGACAGCATGTCAGAATCAGATCTCACTAAAGGTCTTTGATTGTTCCTAGACGATCAAAACTGATACAAAATGTATCTCTTGAGTGGAATGTATCTAGTGGTTGAAATGTATCATTTAACATCAGGCCAGGCTCTCCAGCTGTCAAAACGAATAGCAGAGAGGTGAGTCACTGCTACCTCTCTGCTATCTTCAGCTGTCAGATACGGGATCGCTATTTAGTGAACCCGTCTCTGAATGTAAAGGCTTCATTCTTTCATTAATGAAAGAAAGAAGCTTTTAAAAAAGCTTAACTATTTCATGAATGTCTCAATAGTGAGGCATTAATTAATGACTGGAACTGCTGAGAATCAGCAGTTACCAGCATTACAGAGGCTAATATAACTCGGCACGTACAGTGTACGTGGCCAGTCATATAGCCACTTTGTGACGGGACGTACACTGTACGTCTCCCGTCACGAAGGGGTTAAAGGACAAGGTCACTTTAAAATGCAGCGCACTGATCTTTCTGGTCCTTTTAAGATGACATCACTGATCCCTCCCACTCCGCACACTTACAAAGTTCTGAATGGCCCAGCCTCCCGTTTGTTTACCTCCTGTGTCAGATATCTCCTCCTGGCCATGTCTGCAGTACATAACCCATTGATATCTATGGGGCTCATCTACCACCAACTCTCACCTGGGAGACAAGCCCCATAGAAGTCAGTAGGGGCCCGGCCTCCTGTTTGTTTACACTCTGTCAGACATCTCCTCCCGGCCATGTCTGCAGTACATATCCCATTGATATCTATGGGGCCTACTCTGCCAACCTCTCAGCTGGGAGTCAAGCCCCATAGAAGTCAGTAGGGGCGTACTGTACAAGTGCAGCCAGGAGAAATCCTCCACAAATGGAGGCCAGGATGTCAGAACTTGGCAAATAGAGGGATCAGTGATGTCATCTTAAAAAGGGACCTAAAAAAAAGGATAAATGCACTTTGTTTTAATGTGTCCTCATTCTTTAAGAAATTCCGGGTCGCACATTTTAATTACGGATAAAAAAGGAAGGAAGTGACCATTTCCTGAGGCTCACCCCACTCGTCTGTTTCCTCGACGGTTTAACATTCTGACCCGGTACCCAGTTTTTGTCGCGCGTTTCATCTTCGTTTCCAGACTCGTCCGATTCAGATAACAAGTCCTCCAGCATCAACGTGGGTGCTCTGGCTGTGGTGCGGCGCAGATTTTTGGGCTGAGAGAAGACAAGTCATTAGTACAAGTCTCCTACGTTCACAGGCGTGACTAAAATAAAAAACATGGCTCTGGTATAAGTTACCTTGGGAGGAACGAAATCAAAGGGAGAGTCCGGGGAGTTCGTCAGGAATTTCTCTTTTAGGGGACTGTACATCTTCTTTCCACTTGCAACCTGAAGAAGTGCCAGTTTCTGTACAGGAATAAAGCACATGGCAATATTGGATGTACTGTACAATAAAAAAGGTGACAGACCCAGCTAGAAGCACATTTTATTTAGATTTTTAACAAGTAGTAAGAGGAGTTTGTAAACCCAGATAGTCTGACCTCAGTGGCGTCACAAGGGGGTGCGGCTGGCACCCTGGTGACACCATTGGAGGGGTGATACCAAAATGACAGGTCATTTTGGTGTCACCCCCCCTCTGAAAAGTCAGACAGTACCAGGAAAGAGAAGGTATCCTGCCAGGTGACTGTCCCCTCTCTGCCGGCGTCCATCACCACACATGCGCGATGACTTCACAGCGGGGTGACATTCGGTAACCACTCCGGGTGTCACCCAGCCTCGGGACACCCCTGTCTGACTTTATAAGTATAGAGCATATAGCTAGAAAGAGGATAAGGTCACCTTTTCACAAAACAAACATGTACTCAAACAGCCTCCCCAACACCCGGGTCCCTCCTGCACTTACCTGCTCAGGTAACACTGGGTGGCAGGAGTACAACGGGTCTCGCGCTTCAACACATCACTGCAAAACCTAAGAGGCTGGGTAGCATCATAATGCTGGCAATGGCGAGGATTCGCTGGTCAGTGTGGCCATTTGACCAATGAGAACCTCTTCTGAGCCTTCTTTATTCTGCACAGAAGCCGCTGATTCTCATTGATCAGAGGGGTCACATGGCCAGGTTGACCAGTGCCAGCATGAGGAGGCTACATATCCCACCCGGCTGTGAAGTTTTGCACTGTGGAGCCCATTACACTGGCTGGCGTGGGATTATGTCATTTGAGCAGCAGGAAGGTGGGGGAGGAATTGTAATAAATAACACTTTGTATTCCAACAGGGGTAGAGTGGTTTTGGTTGGCGTGTGGAGGGTGTCTGTTCAAATCAGGCAAGGTGAACGTACCTTTAAAGCAGAATGCCGGGCAAAACTACTTCACTTTCATCATTCCGAAATCGTGTGCATCTGTGGGCTGGACTAAGCTGCAGTGACACAACAGCAGGACAGGTCCTCTTATCAAGGAATTAGATCCTCCCTGCATGTGTTCCTTCCACTGACCTAATACCCCCAAGACCTTTCCTTCCAATGACCCGAGTACTGAAGATCCTTCCCCTCACCTGTTTATACAAGTCATTTTCTTGAATGAGTTGATTGTTCTTTTCACACAGCTCCCTCATCTTCTCAATTTCTTCATCCTTTACAGAAAGAACAAGATTTAACATTACCCCTCGTTTCAAAGCTTCAGCTGAACTCCAGGCAGACATGAAAAGCAAATGCAGTTGTGTATATTTAATTAAAAAAAAACAACTTTTAATTATATATATATAT